TGGTACATCTTAGTACATATAAAATGCAGTGGTCTGGATTAATAGAGCAAATCTCAGCTGAATATATTTTTAATAATATGATTGCCTGTTTATTATTGATCTTTTGCTTATCAATGAAACATTATTATATTATTTAAGGATTATTCTATAATTCAATCTCTCTGCCATTCCATCATTCCTTGGTCTAGGATATACACCTTAAAAACTTAACCTTTTTTCAATTTTCCTTTCACTTTGGGATAGTGAACTTACTTCCCTAAATTTACCTTTCAAAATTACCCTTCACCTTCCCTCAGTTTTGGCCCAAACACACCTGATATGTTTTCAAGCTTATATTAGTAAATTCTTGTTCTTTAAAGCTTATATTAGGATGTAATAGAATAGTATGAATATTTTATTTTATAAATTAACATTCAACCAGACTATTTTGACTATTTTTGTTATATATCAAACAACAGCAACTGAAAAGAAATAAGTGCTGAGATCTATAAAAACCTATTATCTATTTCTGGTTGAATCTTACCTTTACCCTTGAATTAAGGCATCTCCAGCTCTATGACCAGTAGATATATAGTCCAACTGACTTTATTTTGGCCAGAGTGGTCTTTCTAGACGGTAATTAGATAGATTTTACACAAAATGCCATTGGGTTTTGCGAGATGTGAGAAAATAATCTGAAAACCCAACTATCATGGATTTTCCTCAGCAAGGGCTATTTAGAATAGAAATGCTATCTTGAAGAAGAGAGCAGATTTCAAATCTAATTTTCTCAGTAATGTCAATCAATCTTAGAAATTCGAGTAGCGCAAAAGATAGCTAATTTGAAAATAAAATGCTTCGCCGATGTAGAAATGTCTATATTCATTCCATAATTTTGCTGTGTTTTCGCAATTTTGGGTCTGTTTTGCTCCTTAAATTCTAAGAACATTCTACTCTAATTATTTTATAATTAAATTATAATGATTAATAAATGTTATAAGACCAAAGTTGGTTTATTAGGTTTTACTCCACGAATATTAAAATTGGCATGTTCATTCAGAGTCAGAAGTACTTTGAAGATGAAGCTGAAGAGGAGTTGCTGAAGAGACTGATTTATTAGATAGAGATTATTCATGAGAAGCAAATCAGCGAACCAAAGATATGTATTGAGGAAGCTAAGGGACTTGCAGTGGACTACATTAACATGCTGGTTGATAAGAAGAAGCAGAATGCATTGAAGTTTGCTTAGCACCAGGCTCAGTCCCAGAAACCTACTGAGGAGGATTTAGAGCACAATAGCTTTATTAAGACTAAGAAGTAGATGGGTAAATATGACAGACTGGTGAAGGAGCTGTTTAAGATGATTAAGAAGAAGGTGTTTAGGATTTAGAATTTAGCAACCGATATGCAAAAGGATGCAATGAGGCAACCTCGAGTGTTCTCCAACTTTGTGTTCATTAAGAACAGGAACAACCTAGAGATTATTTAGGACAATGTGGCTCATGAAAAAATCAAAATGATTCATGAGTTCTAAGGGTAAATTGAGCAATTCATTATGAACTGTAGATCAAAGACATGAAACTGATAATAAATATTTATCAGCACAATAGCTAGAATGACCTCTTAAACAGTTCCTTTATATAAAAAGAGATGATAAGTCGCCATAATCCATTGCACAAAAAATAATTAATAGATTTATAGCAATTCCGAATTAAGCGGAAAGATTTTAATCTTTAGTGAACTAGACTCTGCCAAAGACGCATAAGGAAAGCTCAACCCAAACATGAAGATACAACAAATTTAATCAAAGATGAAAAGACAAAATTAGTAAAACTAAACAGTGATTCAACCGTATATGATTAATGAATAAGAAGCAGCTGTG